TTTGCGTATTTCGGCCGTCCGCCGAACAGCAGGCCGAGGAGTTGCTGCATGCGCTGGCGGTGGACGCGCCACCGTGGCGCCTCGCGCGCCGCCCGCCGAGGTGGGGGTGCAGGTCGAAGGCCCGCTGGACGCTAGGGTCGAAACGCGAGGCGACGCTGTCGAGCAGGGCATGGTCGTCGGTAGCGACACCGAGAAGGCGGTCGACAGCATCGAGATTCCAGAGCCGATCACCGGAGGCTTCCAGCGTTGGCCAGAGGATCCCTGCCTTTGACCGCTGGGAATTGGGTTCAAGGAGGTCGCGGTCTGGGAGCTCGATATGGTGTGTGACGCGCGCGGCCAGATCATGCAGGTGTATCCGTGCAGCCTTTGCGACAAGGATATCTGTTTCCCCTGTGTCTAGGCACAACATTCCTCGTCATAGGGTGCGGCTCCTGCGGCGGCTCATGGCTTCCGCCGTCGGCATTGCAGTATCCTTGGAGCGGTTCATTTTCTTATGCCGTTTGCCGATACCCTTTACCCAGGGCTACCTTCTTCCCCCCCCGGCAGCGAGACAGAGCGTGGGTTGGTGGTTGGCCGGGTGGTGCCTCTGCATGCGTGGCGCACTGGCGGACAGGTGCCTCTCTTTCCTCGCGGCGCTGGGTCTTCGCTGTGGTACCGTCCGTCGGCGTGGGCTACCTCATCCTGGTGCTCGAGCCTCCTCCCCCCCTTCCCTCCTCCTCCTCTTCCCTCCTCCTCCTCCTCCTCCCCCTCCTTCCTCCTTCTCCTCCTCCTCCACCTGGCGCGGCGAAGGGAAGCCCGTGCGCCTCGGGCCCTCGGGCCGTCCCCCGAGCGCTTCCCCTGCCGCGCCGCGGCGGCCGCAGCGCGGCGTGCTGCGGGGCGGGCAGTGGCGTTGCCCCCGAGGCGTCCGCACCCCGTGCCGGCGGCCCGAGGCGGACCCGAGGCAAAAACGAAAACGGAAAACGAAAACAAAAACAAAACGAAGCACGAAGACGAAAACGAAAACGGAAAACGAAAACGGAAACGAAAGCAAACGAGAACGAAAACGGAAAACGACAACGAAAACGAACAACGAAAACGAAAAACGAAAAACAGAAAACGAAAACAAAGCGAAAACGAACAACATCGTTTAGGTTCAGCCCTGTGAAAAGCATGGCAGGATCTGTTTTCTCGGTTTTGGGGTGGTCCTGGGGGGGGGGGGCAGGCCGTCCTCGGTCTCCGTTGGTCCTCCTCAGGCCCCCTGTGCGGGCGGCCCGGAGCAGAAGGTCGACCCTCGGGATGACCGAAGTGGGTGCGGCAAGAACGGATACAGTGCCCAACAGCAGTTCCTGTTCATTTTGAGCAGGACTCGCTGTCCGCGCCGCCGCGGCCCGTGCCCATGTGAGACAGAAGGCCGCCCCGAGATGGGTACGGCAAGAACGGGTACAGTGCCCAACAGAAGTTCCTGGTCATTTTGAACAGGACTCGCTGTCCGCGCCGCCGCGGCCCGTGCCCATGTGAGACAGAAGGCCGCCTGCCCAACAGCGGCCGCTGTTGGTTTTGGACAAAGCTTGCTGTTGGGCATTGTACCCCTTTTTTCCGTACCCATTTCGGGCGTCCAAAGACCTTGCCAGCTCCAGGGTACCCTCGTGTCCTGTGCTTCGCGATGCGTGCCTTCTTGCACTCCAATGGCGATGTGGCCTTCGGAAGGTTCTTGTGTCCTCTCGCGTGTCCTCTCCAATGAAGTCCGACTGTACGGTTCTCGAAGATTGTGGAGGACGATCAATGGAGAAGAAGCATGTTGCCAAATAGTTTCCACATGTTTAAACTATGTTTCAAACATGTTTTAAATATGTAAGTAAAATGTTGAAACATGTTCAGAACATATTTTTACACATTTTAACACATTTTAAGTTCAATGATAGGACTGTTAGGGTGTCCATTGTCGTGGCATCCACAACTGTACGATTCTCGAGGAAAAAACGCCACACACATAAACTTTTGGCGCTCCGCGCGGATTTCTTGGATCCGCGCAGGGCCCCCCTGGCGGCGCCACCGGCGCCGCCGCTGGCGCGCTCCGCGCGCCAGGGGCGGGGG